TAAAAAAAATATATTATATTGTGTGTTCGTAGATTCCGGTCGACCACGGGAACATGCAGCAGATGAACCGACAAACGGCGCAACAGAGATCTCTGGAGAAAAAAAAAAACGGTTTGTGATCGGACGAATGTCTGCAAGACTGCACTGCACGAGATCGCCGACTGAGGGTAAGTATTATATATAATATATATATATATCATACAAAAGATAATTTTACGTATAATATGGAGCACGAGCACGCAAGATCAGAACGTTTTAGAGTGTATTTACGAATTTTAAGTACCTATACTCATAAAACGTTAAATTATAAATTACATATAAAAACATAATTATTATATTACAGCGGCGGCGGCGGCCAAACCGTTCGACAGTGTGGTTTTATGACCGCACTGCAGGTGGTATCATCGAATCTGAAAACTAATATAAAGTTACCTATTCACTTCGATCGATTATAGTAATATGACGAGATATGACGATATTATTACCTACCTATATTATGCATTTAAGTATTATTGTATTTTCGATTATAAAAATACAACGCGGCAATCTGATTTTGTATTTACGATATATAATTTACGATAACCTATATATATATCGAAAAAAAATATATATATTTAAAACCATTTMTAAATATACGTCGTGGGTTATTTATTGAAATGATATTATAATGTCTAATTTAATAATTAGAATCGTTTAYGATTTTTCTATATTCATAGATGGCGAATTCATATAAATTAGCGTGTTACTCAATTATGTTACTCTATTAAGTACCTACTCATTTATAGTTTATATATTTTCAAATCGTAAATTATTGAGAATTCATAATTGGTAGATCAGGTATGAATCCCGCAAGTACCGACATATCAGAGAGATTCGGCAGAAAGTTTTTAGGTGAACACACCCCGTTATGAAATCGGAAAATTCGTAATCTTTTTTATTACTTCCTATTTTATCCATTAATTTAATATGTTTATATATATATATTGGCTACAATATCAGTACAAAGCCATTACAATTATATGACTATACAAGGTGTAACAGGTAGAACTGACTTTTCGAATAACTTGTTTAAATTAGTATTTTTTTTTTTTTTTTTCATTAAGTGACCCTAGCGCTACATGTATAATAATTATTTTTTATGTTTATTTTTTAATACTGAAAATAAAAGAATTTAAATTTAACAAAAATATTTTTTTGATATATTCAAAATAGCTTATTTGTGAATCTGATTATAAGAACAATTTGATGGTAAAACGATTTATCGAAGTCAAATAATTTATTTTTTAGAATTTTTTTATATTCAATATTTCTTTTGATAAATTAATTGAGAACGTAATAACTATTTTCAAAATATGATTTTTGAGAATTTGCTGCCACGAGTATATTTTTTAAATTATTTACTTATCATATAACATTATAAAAAATTTTTTCATACGTTTATTTAATATATATATTTTTTGTCAGATTTTTCTGTTACACCCTGTATATTTAAAATCACAATAATATAATATGATGTCTATATTTTTTTAATCTTTGKAGGTGGGTGAAGATTTTCATTGAATAATCCATGATGATCGTGGAAACTAGTATGGCTTTAAGCTTTAACACCTCCTCCCCACAATCGTTTTGTTTAAAAATACACCAGCACGAGGGGTTGGTTACATTTAYTAAATTTTGATTGATGTGCAGTAAAAAAAAAAACAAAATCTGTCTACGAAGTCAATTGGATTTGAAACTCTGACATATTTCAATCATTTGGCGGTCGATCACTGCGGATACAAACAGACTGAAAATGCACAATATCATTTATAATTATTCCGGTAGTCACCGTGTAGGCAAGTTTATAGTGACAGCACATCGATGCCATTCCGGAAACGGTTTTCAGGATGTCTCGCTAGTTCACAAACTATCTGCAGATTTTGTAATTATTGTTTATTATTATTTAAACGCAGTGCATCGTTAAAGTTTATTAACGCTTGACGACCGAGTCAAGTCGAAACGAGAATTGCAGCTTTTGGACGTATTCACAAATACTTACCATGGCCATCACACGCTGTATAATAATATAATATTATTATWTTTGTGTTTCGATTTTTTCTATGATAACATATTATGCGATTTTATAACACGCGGCGGTAATATAGATATCCGTTAATCGTATTGCAGCTGACACGCGTGTTCAGTTTATATAATATGAGCCACGTCTTCATCGCTACTTTATGTAATATAATATTATTATTTTGTTACGAACACAGCATCTTTGGCGGAGATTAGTTTTAATTAAAACACAGACGCACGTCGTGGCCGCATAAATATTTTTACGATTATTGGACG